ACAGAATAGCAAAATGGGGAGAAAAAAAATTCGTTACTTTGCAACACTCTCGTATCTTGTTGCCGCGAAATTATTTTTCTGTTTTAGTGAATATTTACATAAAAATATGAGTTGAAACGCATTACTTACTTGTGGAATGCGATGTTAGTGTCTATTTTGTTTGTCTGTTGTATTTTTACACCCATTTACCGCACATTTCGTCATTTTTAGCAAAAAATTTTGGAGCTGTTCGCGGTGCAATATGACCTTGAGCACTAACAGCCCGCGCGCTCCTGGGACGCGTTTGGAACCCTCTAACTTGCCTCACTTAGCGTGTGCGGGCTAGGTTTCTATGCGTTATTATTCTAAGTTTTGTAATATAAATAGTTAGGCACCGATGCCGACGTAGTTTGATGTCTTTTACTAGGCGGCTGACAACTGCTGAATATGGACTAGGAAACTAAAATCAGTACTATATGTAACGTAACCAACGATTTTCACTAAAATTGCACAATTAAAACACTAAAAATTAAAATTTGTTTCCTTAATTATGTTTTGTGTCTTTGACACGTTCATAACAAATAAATACCCTCATGTCATCTGACATTTTTTATTATTTTGATGTGGGTAGTCTCTTTTCGGCTCTGTACACGCCAGTCTTTTGTTTAAGTAATTATCGCAATTTATGTTGACCCCCTGACGTTGGCGAAATCGTCGCGCAAAACGACGGCGCCATAGATACAAAAGTTGAAGTTGAAGTAATTTGTGTAATTCTTAAAGTTATTAACAGAAAACTACACGGGAAAATTCTTTGACTTAGATGAGTGTCTAGTTCCTTTATTTAATCTTATTATATTGTACTTCAATATGTGATCCAGACGCTATTTTGAGTGTATTGGAAGATCACATCTTTTACAGCTTCACTTCTGGAAACAATTCCATTTTATGTAGTTTATAGTACTGAATTCACGAGAATAGACTTGTAGTTCTTATATAGTAATTTAAAGTGTTCCTTGCTCGAATGAGTTTGTAAATGGATTGCCTTAATTTTTTGTAAATCTGATTAACCTATAATAATGTGTAAATTAGAATCCCTCAACATATAGCGCGTGACCAGTGATCGTTAGTGAACGCCTGTTCATACATTTTTTGTGAATTTCAGGTTTCCGACGTGCTCGAGACCACTGAGCGACCATCTCCGTTGTAGCCACCCCTGAGTTTTATAAACCCACGAAATATAAGTGTTAAGCCATCTGTGTATTTTTATTTCTGTTCTGTAGATTCGGGGTCCTAAACCCTGACGTTTCAATAATATACATGTATATTCATAACACGTCGCCCCTTATATGCATTACTGACTTGTGAAGACAACTGTCAAAAATTGTCTGTTTATTTTTTAACCGAATTCAAAAAGAAGTGTTCTCAATTCGGCAGTTTCTTTTTGTAATAATGCTACGCGATTACTCCGACATTATATTTGAAGAAAATATTCCACCTCTAAGGGTGCCAAATTAGGGGATGAATTCGGTTTATTGAATTAAACCCACTTTCCATTAACCGATTTCAATAAAACTTGGCAAATAGATGTAATTCCACAAACTTTTGTTATCGGCTTTATTTATTTAATAATTATACTCATAAATAAATAATTATATATAATAATTACAAAAAGTTACTTTAATTTTAAATCCTCGTAGTAGTGTAATACTTTTCCTTTTCACGTCGGACTATGGACAAAAAATTGCCCTCAAGTAATTTTGCTGGAAGGCGTCCTAGTTCGTCCCAGAGTGTGTGAGTGGTCTGGGTGGCTGGGAAGTGCATCAGAGTGGATTCCGTAATTCTGGTACACAAGTACAAGGTTTAGAGTTTAGAGACCAGACAATTGGTGTGGTAGTCTGGCACATATTATATTAAGTATTATTACATTATTTGCGTGTAAAATTTACAAATTGCGTAAACACAACCACCCTTTTGTAAAGCAGATCCGTGAGAAGAAACATGCAGTTTATATCGTAGATATGGACTTCTTCTATATTCCATTGCTATTTCTAAAGGTCGCGCTAAGCAGCCAGACGTCACTTAGTCGATGTCTACCTTTCAAAGACTTTGTGCCTGTGGCGGCACAAGCTGGCGATTTTTACATTGCATTCAAACTGATACTGACTCTATTCGGTACAAATGAAATTCTACATCGTATTGCATGTACTACATAATCTGCCTTACAAGGAAATATACCTTATTGTTAAGAACCTAAGTTACACTTTGTATTGCCCGTTGCGGGATAAGTAGGCGGCGCTATGCAGCGCATCGCGGTGCAGCGCGGTTTTACTTTTGTGTTTGAACAAATGTATACTTTATTTAGCAGAGAATATGTTCTACAGTATATTGCATTTCATAAAGTGCACCCGCTGCAGCCCGCGCCCCCTTGCTGCAGTTTCGTTTTCATTTTTTGTTTAATGAAATGTTGTCGTATTTTGTAGAGAATAAAGCTTATGTTGCATTTGCTCATTTTAATGCATTGCCACGCCGCGGCGGCTGCAATATGATGTATATATTAAAAACTATCGGTTTTCATTTGGTTTCATACCTCACATAATTTGTAATAAATACTACACTACGCTAGAACTGTTTGACCGCCTATCTATGTGTAACCTTGTATGAATTTCTATTTATAGTTCTTTAAATTAGAGAGAGTTATTTGGGAGAGAAGAGCTGTTTACATAATTTTATGAACTTGATTTCGGAGGCGTCACCGACATGTCGGAGGGTAGAAATGCCCGAAAAATTACGTTACTGAACTGTATTTCAGTTAACAATCAACGACAAAGATTTAAACTTAATGGTCATGTAAATGTTAAAAAACTACATTGTCAAGTACAATGTAGTATTCATGTTTACTCTCCATTCCTTAAAGTTTTGCAGTGTAACAATTGTCTAGATTGTTAAAAACAACACTAGTTTTCATAAAATAATTTCCGTTAACAAAGGAAAGAAATTGTAACACGTATATTTACAAATCCTTTATTTAAAACGATTAAAAAATATACCGAATGATATTTTCCCTTGATTTCTTTTTACTTGACATATGAAGTCATGTGATAGTGGCATGGCAGCCGGTGTTTTCACAGTTATTTTATTTAAGTGAAATATTAATTATTGCGACTGAACACAATGAACTTTTTGAAACACTTTGTAATATGAGGATCATTATCTATTCTCAAGTCATACAACCTTTTTTACGTGCTTAGATAATAAGGATAAAAGTGTCACTAACAAAGAAACGTCAAAGAAAATAAATGTCTGTTTATAAAATAAATACCTATCTAAAGTAATTTTACCTTGTACATTACTTACCAATCTTACACTTTGCTCTGTTCTATTAATAGGCAGTAATTAACATGTTTATTGGTTTATATAAACAGTATATAATCGCAATCGAGAATGTTGTTGTAAAAATGGAAAACCATGTTTTTTGTTTCGTTCTTGATGATAAGTAGAGTAACACTTTTTTGTCGCGACGCAATAATTAACACAATTTAGTTTCTAAGATATTTTTGACAAATCTTCACTATCAATTTTTGAATTTCATATACATGTTGATGAACATATATGTATACATCCAGAATATTAATTCAATGGAAATAGAGGTGCTAACTATGGATTTCATTAAAGGAAAAGTCAATGTACCTATGCGTACAATGAGATCTCGCGTGACATGTGGGAAAACTATCAATTAATAGTTACGTTTGCAATAATAATTTATTTAATAAAATCTCAACAAATGGTAATTACTCTAATAAATTACTTGTTACATGTAATGAATAATAAAAAAGCCTACGCAATTAGAATCATATACAATATGTTCAGATTTTTTACTTATATTTAGTAGCAAGTAGAGCTCTTTATGAAAGAGTTCGTCCGGGGAAGTACTGCCACCTTATCTGTTTCTGCCGCCAAGCAGTTGTGTGAGCATTACTGCATTCCGGTTTCGAAGGGTGCTGGTGAAATTACAGGCACATGGGACTTGTCAACTTATGTATCAGGGTGACGGGCGCAGTGGCAGTGACTCTCAGATCTTTGTGATTTAAAGCTCTGAGGGACAATGCAACTGTTATGGACAGGCGTGTCGCTTACCATCAGATGCACGATTTTTTCGTCCCTTCACTTTGTTATAATAATAAAAAAAGTTTAGTAAACATGATCCCAAAAGTCTCATTAAGATACAATTTTTAGGACGTATATACTTCCCCTAAACTGCTACACTACCGCACGTGACTGACAAATGAAGCGATTAAATTGAATAGTAATAGTGTCGGCAAAACAGAAAGGTGCAGAGTGCAGATATTATTATGTAGCGGTAGAGTGTGTGCGTGCGCGGGGTGGGTTGGCGTTCCGGCGTCTGTTGCCTGCACGCCGGCTGCCGCTATTAGCAACCCGTGGTGCGCTCGCGCCAGTAGCGCGATTAGCCCCGAACGACACACACGATGGTAGCGCATACGCACGCGCTCGCCGCCGCGCTTTTGTGTGCGCTGGCTGGACAACTCGGTACTGGTGCAAGTCTCCACTGTGCCATGAGAAGAGAAATCTCCCCCTGTACTTGCCGTCGCGAAGAAACTAGCACTGGAAATATTTTAGTCGTCTGCCAGAGAGTCAACACTTACGAGGATATTGCTCGAGCCCTCACCAACAAGTTCAGTCCCGAGACCAAGATCGGACTTGAGATATCCTACTCGCAAATGCCGGATTTTATTGATCATAGCTTCCGAGAACTCGGTCTTTCCATCACAAAACTTAAACTCAACTTCGACAACCTAAGGCAAGTGGATAAGTTGGTTACAGAAGTTATTAATTATATGTGCTACGGTGTGCGGACGATGCTAGCGGAAAAAGCCCATATTTATTTGTACGACAGAAGTTCTATGTTAGACCATTATAAAGACATAAAATTAGAAACCTCTTTTAAATTGTGATCGAATTGCATCAAAACAATGTGTAATTTGAATGAGAAAACAAAAGGTCTGTGATAAGAGGCGCGCAACAACGATGAGGATAGGGTCCTTATCGAAAGAGTGGGCGGTGCCCTCGCCAGGGTTGGTGGCCGACCATAGATTCAGATAAAATCTAGATGCTAGCGTTAAATGAGCTACTAGAACACTTCAATCGAGTTATCGATGTGAGCGTAAATTTCCCATAACTAGTGGTCATTTGTGATCATAGAGCCGTATTAAAATATAGACGTATCTGTTATTGAGATAAGGTTCTTATTAATAATTTTGCTATTTGAAAGTATAAACCATGATTCACATTGAAACTACCAAATTAAACTTCCCCGATACATTGTTCCATTCAGTAAACCAGGATTACTCGTAAGACAGCGGACCTAAATCAGCTGATTGAACCATAGGAGCACGTAATTTTGTCTGTGGTACAAAATTGTATGGTAAGCAATTACAACTTTGATCTAAGGAGATATAGGTTCTTATAAAGTTTCTTGAACAAATTCTGAAATAGTGACTAATCGCGATTTACAAGATGTTAAGGATTTGGTGCCGGCTTAGGAATGATGCATAGGAAGGAAAGAACACATGGACGTAGAAACGTCGTCACTACAAGTGATGATGACAAGATTCTTCAGCGATATCGCATATCGCGTTAATGAATATTTTCGTAGTGAGACATCATATGACATCGAGCAATGCGATATTTTATTTTAAGGTATATAAAGTGCAGTACGAATTTATGATATATTTTCACATATAATTTAAACAAGATGTCCGGAATTAGCCACGCGATTTGTCGTGTTCGCTCCTGTTTTCTTGGTACTTCGCTTATTCGTAGTTTACTGCGGAGTGCGAAATAGTCCCAGCACGCGCAATGTTCTTGTTACCGTGATCATACAATCTACATCTTCTAAACGAATCGTCTTTCATAGAACTATTTCATAAATCTAATAAGGACTCTATAAATCTACAATAATTATAATAATATAATAACATAGAGGAGTGTCATCAACGACTGAATGATAGTTAAATATAAAAATTTACATTACCTGCTGCGTTTAGTACCTAATGACAAAGTAAAAATAATACGATGATACATTGATACAACTCCTGTCTGTGGCGACCTTTAAGACACTAACGTTGTGTGAGAAAATTCACGAAACGCACCCATTTTGGCCGGCCTTTTTTGTATGGATACACAAACACAAACAACAAAAAAGTACAGATCAATGATTCATCATTTAAAGGATTCGATCTTTCAAGCAGTCTTTGTCTCTGCCTGAAACCAGCAATTATTATAAAACCTTGTTTTATAGAACATATTGTTCAAAGCGATAAAACGCATATAGCCCCATTTAAACAATGGATTAGGGAAACTGTCGATAAGAACAAAATTGTCTATGTGAAAATAATTTGCAATGAGTCCAGCACCTATCTTCGGGAACAATTGGGTTGTCCGTGACCCGTCGGCTCGCCCCTTATTGACCACTCAATTGATCTCCTTTGATTTTATGTCATCATAATTGTATTATCAAAATGCATGGCCTATGTATTTTTCGCTGTGGCCTAAGCGATGTTTGTGCTTTCGGGGGTGCATGAGTCATATCAAAGAGCTAAAAAACTCCGTTCTTTGAAAGTCTTTGACAGATATGATGTAAAATGACCATTGTTTATGTTGAATGTTAGTCTTATTAGCCTAAATAAAAATACAAATATGCAACATTTTGTTATCAATTTATTGCTGGAAATGAATATACCTAATTATAAAGCTACCCTTAAAATAGTAAATATGCATGGGGCTAAATTAGTTCCGTTTATATAGTAACCTTTCGTTGGTGAACTCCGGGATCGTGTGGGGATGGTATCTAGGAGACGTTGCTCGATAGTTTGTTCGGGTTATCAGAGGTCGCTTCTAAAGCAGTAAAATTGAATGATATCATGTCGGTCTTGTCGTACCCACTATATTTACTCATTAATTGTGTACTAACAAATTACAGTAGCCGTTGTTTGTCGCGATCCAAATTTGTAAACTCATTTCATTACTTACGTAGGGTACCTACATCCTGGGTTGAGACGTTTTTGAATGGCAGAAAGTCAAGAACAATTTCAAAATTTCTCAAAAAATAGCATTGATTGAAAAAAAATTAGGAAATTTTAAATCCAATTCTATATCACATTAAACTATGTAGATACTAGAAAAGACAGTGTGACATCAGTAGATCATGATGCTAATCATCACGTTAGCAAAAACCAACTTAGTGACAGTGTGAAATCACTCTGAGTTCTTCGGCCAACCTAGCGCGCTTCAGTTAATTGTATTTGCTGGTCCCGTTTTGTAATTTAATTACCCTTTGGCCTAAGCGAGAACGTCAATTATGAATCGTTCGGCGGGCGAGTAGCGAACCTCTGGCGGACTAAGTACTTCTGTAGTCAGTATTATACGCTAAGGAGAATTAACCGAAACCGATAATGGTACCCGATAACCGGGTAATGTGAGCATTACTGCGTTCTAGTTTTGAAGGGTAAGGTGCTGGTGAAATTACAGGCACATGGGACTTGCCAAGTTGTGTCTCAGGGTGACAGGCGCAGCGGCAGTGCCCTTCAGATCTTTATGATTTAAAGCTCTGAGTGAGTGGCACTGCAACTATTATGGACTCCAATGACGTGGTCCGCAGTTCAGATTTGTACATAATTCAATCTTTTGTGCATTTGTTTGATATTAACATTTTTATATTGGAGGCAGAATGCCCAATTATTTGTATAAAAACAATTTCATCTGCGTATTTATCGCAAAATTTGCTCTATAAATTATATAATATTAAACCATAGTTAAAAGTGATTACTCTGGTGTATCATTAAAATGCGGTATCAACTCTAGGGGAGCAAATCGGTGGGATGGTTTCTACTCCACCGGAAATCTTCAGTGTGTTTTAAGCGCCGGGATTAGAGATTACGCTACTCCTTACAGCGTCCCTGAAATATGAAGGTAACTAACATTTCACTTGGTTTGTTCTGTAAGATCATTGATTGCTCTCCTTTAATGCGTGCTAGATCATTATTGATTGCTCTGCCTTGGTTTTAACATTAATGAAATCAACGTTTGATAAGTTTAACACTGAAAAATCATATAGTTTGTGTCTATGTGAAAATGGTACTCTTCAAATAAAAAGGCGCAAACAAAGTAGTCGAGTATAATCTTTTTAATGTAATTTTGTTAATTTCAGATCAACATACATGCCACAGCGCTAAATTTTCTAAAACTTTTACGAAGATTACATAGATATTAATGTAATGAGTGTCCCCAGTGTTATTAATAAAACCAAAAACCGATGGAGGAAACGAGTTCTTGTGTGGAGACCACAACTCGGCTAATGTAGTGAAGGTGGCCCTCCGGCCAGATGGAATGACGATCTATGAAAGTCTGCTAGCAAGCAGTGAACGCGAGGAGGGAAAAATTACGCACATCGGAAGACACCTTTTTCCAGTAGTGGACTGCCATGATCTGATGATGAATCGTTATTAATAATGTCAGAAGTTATAACTTAATACACAAATAAATAGTTTTTTTTTTAATTTTGATTTCTTTATAACAAAACATTTTTTTTTATAACATCAAGTGACAGGACGAACAAGTCGTGGTAAGCTATACGCCTGTATATCAGTTACAGTGCCATTCAGAGCTATAAATTGTAAAGGTTTGAGGGGTACTACCACTGCGCCCGTCATCCTGAGACATAAGTTGACAAGTCCCATGTGCCTGTAATTTCAAAACCAGAACACAGTAATGCTATAACATGACTGCTTGGCGGCAGAAATAGGTAAGGTGGCAGTACTACCCTGGACGAACTCTTTTACAAGGAGCTCTACTGCTGCGTCCTGCTCATCATGAAAATTTGATATTCATTTATTCAATCTTGGCGCCTATTCGAGATCTATGATACTCATACGTCCTATTTGATGTGCAATACCAAGTTTTATTATGTTTTGAGAGAAATACTTGCCAGTGCAATCAGTTCACTAGGCCATTCTCCAAGACATATCCATTCAAAAACATTGCAGCCAGTCGATAAGTTTTAAGGTGACTCTTCATACGTTTATAACATTTTTCTTGGGGAACTTTCGTAAACACAAAAACAATGACGACAAAGTCCGCTCACACGCAATATGAGTGGTCATTACAACACTAAAATAAAAACAGCTATGCGCGAATTTGTACTCTTAACATTTATTGCAAAATATTAATCTGTATAGGTTTATGCACATTGTTTTGTTTTGTTTTGCTAATTATAAATTTAAAAGTGAATTAATAAATTTAAAAAAAGAAATTTATGGGAAATGAAACAATTTTTCTGGATTTAAATCGCGTATGTTTGTTTTTTCAAACAAACCAACGTTAACCGTGACTATGGGACCTGTCAAGGACCCGAAACGTTGGTTGGTTGGAGTTTATGATAAAATATATAAAAGTAGGATAGCCTATTCGGTATTTATTCCGGTTTTGTTTTTTGATTGACTTAATTAATTGTTTATTTTGTTGACGTAGGATCATGATCACTTAACTAATGTTTTCTAATATTAAAGCAAAAATGGAAAAAAAAATTGCTTTTTTTCAAACACATATTACAATTCAGGAGACCAGGGAGAGAAAGACCAATATCAGCTAAAAAAATGTTTTGAATCATTACCGCCATCTAGTTAAACATTTAGCTTATTTAGCTAAATCAGAAAGAGGCCAATTAGGTTCAATGTCTTGAAAAACTAGATTTTACTGCTCGGTTTAAAAAATGCTTGGAATTAAATGACATCAAATTAAAAT